AACCCCCACCCCCTTCTTTTTGAAAACTTGTAAATGGTCAAGATCCCCACTCCGAAACCATATATATTCTTGTATGGGACAATAAAACAAATCAAATGAAATATAAGGCGAGTCCCCTTGGGTCACCCCACCCCTCCCTGTTTAAGAACTTGTAAACGGTCGAATTTTCATTATTAATAAGATAATACCACATTGAGGTCCAAAGGGTCCTAAGTTAAACTTTTGTTTAATTTCATCAAAAATTGAATTCTTTGGTTCTTTGATATGCTGATTCTAACAATGTTTGAGTGTTAAATCATATCTAATTTTAGAGAACTTAGTCATCACTGGTTGTTGTTATTATATTATTATTGATTATAATTTGAAAAATTGCATCATATCTTATTTTAGAGAACTATTTATCCAGTTTGAGTTATTTCCATTTGCCATGAAAATATTATGGATAAAATTAACCTGTGTTTCATTTCAACATAAATTAAATATGTATATAGGGTTCCTTCAAATGCTGAATCTAAACTCTATTTAAATTTTAGATTTTTAGGCCCAGTTTTCAAGTTGGTTCAAATCAGGGTCCAAAATTAAACTTTGTTTGATTCAACAAAAATTGAATTTATGGGGTTCTTTGAAATGCTGAATCTAACCATGTATTGAGAGATTTTGGATTGTGGGCTCCTTTATCAAATTGGTCCACATTGAGGTCCAAAGGATCCTAGATTAAACTTTTGTCTGGTTTCATCAAAAATTGAATTCTTGGGGTTCTTTGATATGCTGATTCTAATATGTACTTAGATTTTGGATATTGGACCATAATAGGTATTTAAATGTCCAATTTCAAATATATCAGTTCTTTGACTACATTCATTTTGTGTCACAAACCTATGATGTGTCAAATGTTCAATCACAATCCAAATTCAGAGCTGTTTTAAATTTAAATGTAGTGTCCATACTTGCTCAACTGTTCAGGGTTCGACCTCTGCAGGAAAATCCGGTTTGCTGTCTCTCTGACAGCCTCTTGTTTTATACTGGTTTGATTAAGAAATAAAAAGAAAAACTGAACTATACAGAACCATTTGGATGATGCTAATGAAATAGTGTATAACGTCCAGTAGCAAATATTACATGCATTTTGGGACCAGAACTAGTTAAGATGTTTTGAATATGAACCCTGTTTGTACTAGACAGCCACAATGAGTTGGATTTTAAACGTGCTACTCCACAAAGCAATCGTGAGTCCGCAAAAAGACAAATCACCCTACCAGGACACATTATTCCGACTACGAGCAGACCATTTATTGCTCTTGCTCCTAAATACTGCAAAATATAGTTGGGAAGCAGCAAATACCAACCTTCAAGTCATGGCTTTGACATGGCCGAGTCATCAAACCAACGACCTTAAGCAATCAAGGCAAGTACGCCACTACGAGACCACTCAGGCTCAGTTATAATTGGTTAGACCCATTCTTTTTGATAACACACTAATATTTTACGAGAGGCGGAAGGTATAAACGGATATTCGAGCTCATGAGTGGAAGACAAAAAACAAACAATACTCTACAAAACACAAAATGGAAAACTGAAGACTGAGCATCACGAACTTAATGTGAACTCATGCACCAAAGAGAGGGGGTGATATCATGTCTCTGATATCAGATTCTGCTCCACATATCACACCCGTCGTGTTATCAAGTACAAATTCGTTGATGTAACGATCAATTAGGAATAGAGGACGGAATTGTGGTTACAACAATTGGATATTATCCGTCGTCATCTGTCACGGTAACAGATATTCCATAACGGCCAACCTTAATTAAATATATTCCTTCTATCTCTCTATACATCTTAACTAATTCAAAAGATAAATATTATATATATTTTTTACACTAAGTATTTGCAGCGGTTTATTTTCAAATCTTTACTACAAAAAGGGATAGTTCCGATAAATAAACATGACCATACATGTAGGTGCGGTATTCTCTGCTATCTCTACCTTTTTGGCGTTCCCTTTTTTCGTTCCTAGCTCTTCCTTACCCTTTTTTCTTTTATTCGTTTTTTTGTCCCTTCGTCAGTAGTCACACTGTTTTCCTGGATATTACATCAACTCTTTGTTCTTGGATCTATTGAAATATTTTGGCTTCCAGCATCACTGAAGATATACATTTATTGTCCGGCGAAGTGCATATCTGGTGCAGTAAAATTGGTACTCGCAATGTTATTATCATAGTTACATGTATGTCAGCAATGATGTTATGGACGTCACTCAATCCACAGTTAAAATTTTCTATGTTCAGTGGACCGTGAAATTGGGGTCAAACTCTACTGATTTGGCACTAAAATTAGAAAGATCATATCATACGGAACATGTGTACTAAGTTTCAAGTTGATTGGACTTCAACTTCACCAAAAACTACCTTGACAAAAAACTTTAACCTGAAGCGGGACAGACGGACGAACGAACGAACGGATGCACAGACCGAAAAACATAATGCCCATCTACTATCGTAGGTGGGGCATAAAAATAACACTTGTGTTTATACAAGGACGCATAAAGGATGTGTTGGACAGATTGTCACGATGGCAAATTCGTCGGAGGAATCAGTCCGTATAGCGATTTCATCAATGAACATCGCGAATTAATCCAAAAATAGTTCGTATACCAAAATATCAATGAATTTAAAAAAATATATAATCAAACTAAACTCTGTGAAAAATTTTTGTATTTACAGTAATTAAGTAGTTTTTGATCCACTATTTTTTTCTTAAAATGTCCTGTACCAAGTCAGGAAAATGGCCATTGTTATAAAATCAAATCAAATCAAATAATTTTATTGGTGTAAATTCCAATACAGGAATGATACCAGCTGACATTTACAAAATACAAATACAAAAACAGACAAAAATAAACAAAAAACAAATATACAGAGATATGTTTTCTCAATGATAAGAGACACATATTTTATATCTACATTGCGTGAAGGTGTTATTCATACTATATTATCTCTTCAAGCTATTACAATAAGCTTTAATACTACAACAGTTCTTAACAACATTATGTTTGCTTTAAATGAATGTTCGAATCATACATATCGCTTATTCCAGCTACACATACAGTACAAATGTCAGTATCATTACTTTTCAAAATGAAACTAAATGTATCTTGTTCAGACATATTACAGCTCTTCTATAAAAGCATGCAAAGCAAACCTTTGATCAACTTGCTTGCTATGTTTGCTTGGATGTTTGCAAACAATAGGTAGGCGGAGTTTCAGTCTGTTTTGTATATACTGGAATTTGATTAGACAATAAAAATTGACTTGCAATGAAGTTAATGTTATTGTCCAATCAAATTCCAGTATATAGTAAACAGACTGAAACAGACTACCTACCTTTTGTTTTCAAACATCCAAACAAACATAGCAAGCAAGTTGATCAAAGGTTTGCTTTGCATGCTTTTATAGAAGAGCTGTAACAAAAGATGGAACTACATGTATATAATTAAATTACAAAAGAGTATATTTCTATTAAATTCTAACGCTTTACATTTAATGAGGAAATGGAATTCATCTTCAATTCCATCCTTGCCGTGAAAGTGGACAAATTCTCTGTTCTGAAGGTGTTCTAGTATATCTACCAACTTCTATTAGTAATTTGCTATTACTAATTCTAATTTTTACCATTTTAGAAATAACATTTTTGTTAAGGTCCAGTAGGAGATATTTTTCTAATTCGTAATTATTTTAGCAAATTTGATTTGAATCTTATTTGGACTAAAGTTTGCATAGTTTGACTCAATGGTAGTATTTTGTTTCACTAAACTAACACATGAATCAAAAAGCTTTAAATGTGGTAGTAAATTCATCTTTTCAGAATATAATAATTTTCTATACAAAAAATAGCTTTTAGATAACTGATCAATTGCTGTAGTAAAAGATTCAGATGGTTTAAAAATTATACCTAAATACTTGTATTCATCAGTCAGCTCTAGTAGTTTTCCATTATAATAGAAATTGTGTTTTTTAATAATTTTTCCTGTTTTATTGAATATTGTAATCTTTGTTTTATTAAGATTAACAGATAGATTCCATTTATCACAAAACATATTTAATTTATCTAAAGCATTTTGCAGGCCAGATGCAGATTCTGATATTACTACTAAATCGTCTGCATAAAGAAGACAAGACACTTGTTTATCATCTAGGCATGATGGATATATTATAGTTTGTTTCTGTGTGTGTTACATTTTAATGTTGTGTTTCTGTTGTGTCGTAGTTCTCCTCTTATATTTGATGTGTTTTCCTCAGTTTTAGTTTGGAACCCGGATTTGTTTTTTTCTCAATCGATTTATGAATTTCGAACAGCGGTCTACTACTGTTGCCTTTATTTGAGTAATAAAATTTTCAAATTTTATAACCGATCCAGTCAGTCTCATCAGCCAAAATGTCTAACAAAAAAGTTGAAATAAAATTCCAAATTTACAAAATTGACAGCAAACTGTGATTTTTTTTAAGATAATAGCCCAAATATGGCTAAAAATTGATGAAAAATTGGAAAATCATCAATTGAAAATTGGGTACTTTCAATCATTGGCCGCGTAGGAAAAACAAATAGAAGTGCACCGCCATATGATTTTTTTCTTCATCAATTACTTTTTTACTGTCATATAAACCCCAAAATCAGGTTAAGAAAACAAGTTTAATTCTAGAAACTGTTGGCTCCTCATGCATGAAAAATACGTCCTAGGTTTATACACTGGGTTTATATCATCAGAAAATTAAAATGCTCCAGCACAAAAATATAACCAAATACACAAATACTATTGTAAAAAATCCTCTTCCTTTGGAACCAAGATGATAAAAAATTTGGCCAGGAGAGTCTAAGACCACACAATTAATGAGTCCAAAATATTTTTGGGGAAAATCGTAGTCTGAAATTTATTGTGAAAAATCACCACGTGACGAATACTTATTGGCCGCGCATCGTGGTTGATATTCAAGTCTTAAAAACTCTTTAAACAACAACTGGTTCAAAGTATTTTAAGTTAAAGCTCTTATACGATACTGAATTTGGAAAATGCTGTAAAGATCCTTAGGAGACGTAAGCTTCCCTAATCATTTTACAACTTTAATAATTTGGCATAGCATTCTTACAACATATATTTCTACATGCGCAGCAATTACTTAGATGTTTATCAACTAACTGTGATTATTAGTTACACCTTTTTTTTGGTATCAAACCAAGATGGGATGAACAAAGAACAAACAATATTTGGTAGCGTCGGACGGTCGGTCTGTTATGCTTTTCCTCTTTTCTAATGTACTGATTTTTGCCAGAGTTGTCCAAAAAATTGTTTTTGTAGTAAAGTGAAAGATGTTACGCAGCATATCTTCTTCATTTTTGAAATCCCAAATTTTTAAACCGTTTAGGTAATGGGTCGTTTCGTCCTTGGTAATTTCACCCCAATGTGACAAATGAAGAACTTTTTTTTTATCAATACTTAATTACATGTGAACCTCCCGACGGGAGTGCAATAATATTGTTTTCAGAGGTCTCCTCCTGTCCTCCCGTTGAAGAGAAAAAATCATGTGTGTGAAAAATTTCATGAATGAAAACTCCTTACCAAAATTTCTCAATCTCATTATCTGAGTTTCACAGTCCATCACATGTATTTAATACTTTGAAAATTGACCCAAGGTTAAGGTTCATCTGGACCTTTATTCAAAAATGGGTGATGGCTGTGTTTACACCACAAAATTACTCCAGTATGAATAAGCCTCTGCATCTGGAAATTTGTTAAGGCATGGCACGACCAAGATAAATGAAATTCAAATAGATTTTATGTTTCACAATACATTTGCAACTTAGTTCATATAATCAAGGGACAAAATTTCAGGGCAGGAAGATTTTTTTGGCAGGCCACTTACCCAAGGGAAAGTGATAAAAAAAAAATCACTTTCCTCTGTGCAAATCCACTATCCCCGGTTGAGGCTTCGAGGGTCGAATTTGCTAGGGTGTTTTGGGGGCATGCCCCCCCGAAGAAAATTTTGAAATTTAAGATGCAAAATCCTGCATACTTTTAAGGGTTTAACATGTCAACTGATTATGATAATTTTGTCCCCATGGAAACTATCAACAGGCTCAGGTATTTGTGCCATTGTTTTAACAAGGTCAGAGGAGGTGTCATGGTGTCTGGCATATTTGACACAATTTAAATGTTTCACAGACTGGTTGTGACTCTTGAGGTTTGCCTTGTGGAATGAAGACGAACCTGAGAAGAAACTACAGGCCATTCCACCTGCCATTTCAGGATATTTTAAGCAAATTGTGCCATACATGTACATCTTGCTCTCATTGAATTTGACCCAGGGAAATTCGTCCGCCCACTTGACTTGGTAGGTTCTGTTCCTTTTTTCCCTGTCATATTCATTATCCTTCTGTTTTTTTGGCATACTATTCCCATTAACATCATATTCTGTTTTTCTTTTAGCGCTTAAAATGTCAAAGTATTTATGCAAGCTCATTTTCTGAGCGTCCGCAATACTTACAAACTGGTTCCCGTGCTACAAACTGGATATCGTAAATTTAAACCAGTCCACTAATGATCTATCTAAATACCAAAAGGCACACGTGTAAATCGCGTAAAAATGTGATGAAATCATGGAAATTGGACGCTCAGATGATCTTACAGAAGTATTTTGACATTAAAACAAGTAATAGGGACAAATTATTTTATTTATTTACCGGAAACCGACTTTCCCAACGGGATATTAGCAACTGCAATGTCACTTTCCCTTGTAATAATTTACTTTCCCCGGGAAACGTGAAATGGTAATCTTTATGCCCTGAAAATATGTTTAAAGTAACTTTATTTATGCTTATTTCATAGTTTTTATTCTATTTATTCAAAAGAAACCCAATTTTATGATTTTTTTTCTTTGTAAAACTGATGAAAATGTGATACAGGGAATGTTTGGAATATGCCAGATAAACTATTTGCCACTGGCCAACATGCCACTACTATGCGACATAAAAAAAGAGCTGTAGTTTCATTATTAATGGTCACAATCCTTAAAGTAAGACATCATTTTAATCGTTATATTGTACAGATTCAGAAAAGCTGAGAATTTTTTATATATCGCATACAAGGTTTTGCTTAAGGGTGCTATAAGCAGTTTTGTATAAAAAACTAGGGGTTATTCCCCAACTAAAAATAACCATGGAGGGAAATCCCTTTTTATTTACTTAATTGGTGAAAAAGTATCATGTTTTTTGTATTTGATTGTAAAAATTAGTGCATTAGCTTTCAATTAAAACAGGTTGAATGATTAAAATAATTTTAAAAATAAGATTAAATATACATGTTTTGAGGGGAGACAACAATGTAAACATCCTGTTTTTTTGGCAGTGAAAATTGAAAACTTATTTGCATCCACTGTAGCTCTTTTCGAAGCAGGAAACCGTACCCTGAAGCTAGATTTTTTTGAAAGGCCAGGTAAAAACCTATGAATTTCATACAGTTTTGATTATGGGAAATGTGCCTGTATCATGTCTACATGGGTATGCACATGACCTGATTTCAGGTTTATTATGTTCAGATTAGGCAAAAAAAAAAACTTGATTGCAACCATAGGAGTTTACTAAAGAAGTATATGGGAAAATTGTAAAAAAACAATTTCAAATGGTCACAACTTGAAAACTAATTTAAATAATGATAAGGGGTCTTCAGTAACTTTTGTAAGACTACAATGGGATGACCTGCTTTAAATTTAACTACTGGGCTAAAGTAAACCAAACTTGGCCTCAATCATTATTAAGGTATCTAATACTATTTATTATGATTTTAACCTTATTTTACATGATTTCCAAATTCAAAACCACAGTAGATACAGGTGAGCGACACAGGCTCTTGAGAGCCTCTAGTTAGAAGTTGACTTTAGTTAATCTTATGCTTTTAAAATCTCAGTAAACTAGATAAGGGCTATTCATCTTTTGGAAAAGTTGAATCATATTTCATGAATACATGTATGTGCTATTTCAAGTATAGAAATGTGGATTGAAAATATCTCAATAAGAAATGACCATGTAAAAAATACATTTGTATCTTGTTCTTTTTCAGACTCAATTCAAAATGGGAACAAGAGTATATCTTGGGAGACTGTCACATCATGCAAGAGAAAAGGATGTTGAAAGATTTTTTAAAGGCTATGGAAAAATAAGAGATGTCATGTTGAAGAATGGTTATGGTTTTGTTGTAAGTTGTATTTACAGTATATCATCTACATATTTTTGTAAATCATTTTTTATGCATTTACAGCTCTTTTCATAATGCTAGCAAGACAAAGGTTTGTTTGGCTTGCTTGCTTTGTTTGTATCAATGTTTGCTCAAGCATTGTAATTAAGATTGACATCTGAAAACAACATAAAAAGGTGGATTTAAACTTGTATACATTATATTTAAATTTGATTGGACATTATCAAATAATCAAATTTACCTATACACAGGTTTAACTCCGCCTACTTGTATTGTTTGCAGATGTCAATCTTAATTACAATGCTTGAGCAAACATTTATACAAACAAAGCAAGCAAGTCAAACAAACCTTTGTCTTGCAAGCATTATGAAAAGAGCTGTAACATAAATTCTGAAGTGTATTATTCTGAATTATTTTTGCAGAGATATGTCTACTTTTTCATTTGTGCCTGTTAATATGAAGTAAAAGTTTATTTGCAAACAAAGAAAAATTTGTCTCTATTGGTATTTCCCAAATTAACAAGTCTGTTGCAGTTCCAGCAATTATTATGGGAGAAGTTAGATATTGGATTGCTTAATGCAATCACCACTGTTGAAATCACAAGAAATGTTAGGTAAACACCTTCCTTTAGGTTATAATCCTCTTTGATAAATTTAGGAATAAACTTAGGACAATGGCAGAGAAAATGAAATGAAAAAATATTTCCTTGGCAGAATGCCAGTGAAATCATGAACGATATGTTGCACATGAACAGATAAAAGTTATTGACCTGAGACCAGACATATTAAACTATTTTGACAAATTTAACAGAATAAAGTAATATCACAAATTTCTTGTTTTATAGACTGGATAGGCAATGGGAGGTTTGCATATGAAATTCCATGGCTAATGATTTTTATACGACCGCAAAAAAATTTTGCGGTCATATATTGGTATGACGTTGGCAGCGTCGTCATCCGAAGACACATTGGTTTTCGCAGACTACACGAATGAATTTTATTTTACAGGACATTCGGTCTGGTAAACAACCTAGCTTTACCAGACCGAATGAAATTTTACCAGACAATTTTTTTTTACATCTAATATTGTATATTATCCGACAAAATACAAAAAACTTCTGATTTGTTGTGCCCTACTCCTCTCCAAAAACGCACAAAAACAAAATCATGTGACAAAAGTGATGAAAGTTGTGCACAATTGCTTGAATGCATTTCAGTGATAAAGAAAAGTGATGTCATATTTTATTGGATTTGACCTGAAAAGTATTTGTGAACTAAAATTATTTAGAGTTTCTGTATAAAATATTTCCTGTTTCTTCTTTCTTTTTCATATATCTTTTGGTTTTCAATTCTAGTGTTTATATTTCATAGCTGTATTTTGTGACTTGCTCAGTTCTTATTATTATTATTATTCTTCTTCTTCTTCTTCTTCTTCTTCTTCTTCTTCTTCTTCTTCTTCTTCTTCCGCCGCTTTTAAATTTGAACTTGTCCGCACCCGTTCTCCAAAACCGCTCGTCAGATTAACTTAGGGTTTCACAATATGTTAGACTAACATGTCTAGTGGTGCAATCAGGGTTTTGTTTGTGCAATGGGGTTTCTAAAGGGGTACTTTGAGGGGCAAAAAGAAAAGAGGGTTTTACTATAGAACCCTATGGGATTTTATTTTTTTAAATTTTCAAATGATTATAAATTGAAAACCGTTTGTGATAGACACAATCTTTTTAATTGAAAATGTTCTAAATGATAAAGCCCATTAAATGAAATACAGGGTTAGTCCCCAGGGGTCACCCCCACCCCCTGCCATTTAAGAAAGTTCTAATACCTTGTAAGTGGTCAAGATCCCCACCCCTAAACCATATATATTCTGGTTTGTCATGCTAAGATGGTTTGAATGATATACAGGGTTAGTCCCCAGGGGTCATCCCAACCCCCTGCCATTTGAGAAAGTTCTAATATCTTGTAAATGGTCGAGATCCCCACCCCTAAACCATATATATTCTGGTTTGTCATGATAAAGCACATCTAATGTAATACAGGGTTAGTCCCCAGGGGTCACCCCCACCCCCTGCCATTTAAGAAAGTTCTAATACCTTGTAAGTGGTCAAGATCCCCACCCCTAAACCATGTATATTCTGGTTTGTCATGCTAAGATGGTTTGAATGATATACAGGGTTAGTCCCCATGGGTCATCCCGACCCCCTGTCATTTGAGAAAGTTCTAATATCTTGTAAATGGTCGAGATCCCCACCCCTAAACCATATATATTCTGGTTTGTCATGATAAAGCACATCAAATGAAATACAGGGTTAGTCCCCAGGGGTCACCCCCACCCCCTGCCATTGAAGAAGTTCTAGTACCTTGTAAGTTGTCAAGATCCCCACCCCTAAACCATATATATTCTGGTTTGTCATGCTAAGATGGTTTGAATGATATACAGGGTTAGTCCCCAGGGGTCATCCCGACCCCCTGCCATTTGAGAAAGTTCTAATATCTTGTAAATGGTCGAGATCCCCATCCCTAAACCATATATATTCTGGTTTGTCATGATAAAGCACATCAAATGAAATACAGGGTTAGTCCCCAGGGGTCACCCCCACCCCCTGCCATTTAAGAAAGTTCTTATATCTTCTAAGTGGTCAAGATCCCCACCCCTAAACCACATATATTCTGGTTTGTCATGCTAAGATGGTTTGAATGATATACAGGGTTAGTCCCCATGGGTCATCCCGACCCCCTGCCATTTGAGAAAGTTCTAATATCTTGTAAATGGTCGAGATCCCCACCCCTAAACCATATATATTCTGGTTTGTCATGATAAAGCACATCAAATGTAATACAGGGTTAGTCCCCAGGGGTCACCCCCGCCCCCAATGTTCTAATATCTTGTAAATGGTTGAGATCCCCACCCCTAAACCACATATATTCCTGTTCGTCATGTAATGAACATTTGAATGATGTATAGGGCCAGTCCCCAGGGGTTCCTCCCCACCCCCAATTTTTCTAGTATCTTGTAAATGGTCGAGATCCCCACCCCTAAACCATATATATTCTGGTTTGTCATGCTAAGATGGTTTGAATGATATACAGGGTTAGTCCCCATGGGTCATCCCGACCCCCTGCCATTTGAGAAAGTTCTAATATCTTGTAAATGGTCGAGATCCCCACCCCTAAACCATATATATTCTGGTTTGTCATGATAAAGCACATCAAATGTAATACAGGGTTAGTCCCCAGGGGTCACCCCCACCCCCAATGTTCTAATATCTTGTAAAGTGTTGAGATCCCCACCCCTAAACCACATATATTCCTGTTCGTCATGTAATGAACATTTGAATGACGTATAGGGCCAGTCCCCAGGGGTTCCTCCCCACCCCCAATTTTTCTAGTATCTTGTAAATGGTCGAGATCCCCACCCCTAAACCATATATATTCTGGTTTGTCATGCCAAGATGCAAGGTTAGTCCCCAGGCATCACTAATGCATATAACTTTACTGGACCAAACCAATTTTCACTGGACGTTGCCCAATGTCAGGCGACCCTGGGAATTACGAATTATAGGGGCTTCGTTTGGGAGACTTCGTAACAGCATCCTGTTACAATCATTTCTTGTTTATTTATTGTATTTGAACCCGGAATATTTGCCTTATCTGTTCCCGGAATCTGATCCAGTATTGTCTACATTTCCAGTTGATGGCAGCCATTGTTGTTTTCGCCAGTGAGATATGTTTTTACTCGGATTTACACATTACTTGTTGGCGATTTTCGGCTTAAAGCTAGCGGTTGAACAAAATAAACATCACTGTCATGAATAATAAAGATGAAAATGAATATTGAGATCGTTTGGGAATTTTGCTAGAATGCTAGAAAAATCCATGAAAAAAACAACACCTGACATTCGGACCGGAATTCAAAAAATTTTTACCAGACCGATCCATTATTCACCGGATTTGTCCGACGGTCCGACGAATTTCGTGTAGTCTGTTTTCGCACTCTTTAGTTTAAGTGAATGGATCTCGATGAAATTTTACCATAAGGTTCAATACCACAAAAGGAAGGTTGGGATTGATTTTGGGGGTTATGGTACCAACAGTTAAGGAATTAGAGGCCAAAAATAAGCATTTTTGTAACTTCCAGACATAACTTGTGTGTTAGTGTATGGATCTCTCTGACATTGTAGCACAAGATTCCATATCACAAAGGGAATGCTGGGATTGATTTTGGGGGGTTATTGCCTCCAAATTTTAGGAATTAGGGGCAAAAAACAAGCATTTTTCTAGTTTCATGACAATAACTTGTGTGTAAGTGTATGGATCTCTCTGACATTGTATTACAAGGTTCCATACCACAAAGGAAAGGCTGGGATTGATTTTGGGGGTAATTGCCTCAAAATTTTAGGAATTAGGGGCCATAAAGGGGCAAAAAAACAAGCATTTTTCTAGTTTCAGGACAATAACTTGTGTGTACATGGTGTAAGTGTATTGATCTTTATGAAATTGTACTACAAGGTTCCATTTCACAAAGGGAAAGCTGGGTTTGAGTTTGGGGGTAATTGCCCTAAACATTTAGGAATTTGGGGCCAAAAAGGGGCCAAAAAACAAGCATTTTTCTAGTTTCCAGACAATAACTTGTGTTCAAGTGTATGGATCTCTCTGAAATTGAACTGCAAGGTACCATACCACAAAGGGAAGGCTGGGATTGAGTTTGGGGGTGATGAATCATAAGGGGGTTCAAAAAATTGGGGGGGGGGGGGGGGGATTTTTTTTCTCTTTTCTTTCTTTAAAATTTCCATTTTAAATTGGTTATTTCTGATTTATTGTAGAGCTTCGACTTTAGTTGAAAAAGCGAGACATAGCGATCCTACATTCCTTCGGCGTCGTCGGCGGCGGCGGCGTCCACAAATATTCACTCTGTGGTTAAAGTTTTTGAAATTTTAATAACTTTCTTAAACTATCCTGGATTTCTACCAAACTTGGACAGAAGCTTGTTTATGATCATAAGATAGTATCCAGAAGTAAATTTTGTAAAAATAAATTCCATTTTTTCCATATTTTACTTATAAATGGACTTAGTTTTTCTGCCGGGAAATATTACATTCACTCTGTGGTTAAAGTTTTTAAAATTTTAATAACTTTCTTAAACTATCCTGGGTTTGTACCAAACTTGGACAGAAGCTTGTTTATGATCATAAGATAGTATCCAGAAGTAAATTTTGTAAAAAAATAAATCCATTTTTTCCTTATTTTACTTTTGAATGGACTTAAGATTTTCTGCCAGGAAACAACACATTCACTCTGTGGTTAAAGTTTTTAAAATTTTAATAACGTTCTTAAACTATCCTGGATTTGTACCAAACTTGGACAGAAGCTTGTTTATGATCAAAAGCTAGTATCTAGAAGGACATTTTGTAAAAAAATAAATCCATTTTTTCCGTATTTTACTTTTAAATGGACTTAGATTTTCTTTTAAAATTTTAATAACTTTCTTATACTATTTTGGATTTGTACTATTTTTATTGATTTACTTCCTCATTTTTGTTGAGCCTGCGATTAACAGAAAAAGTAGGCGAGACACTGGGTTCTGCGGAACCCTTACGAATTTTATATAAAAGCAAATAATAATGATATGGTTTGAATAGGTTAATTAAAATTATTAAGTTCTTAGACCACATTCATTCTGTGTCAGAAACCTATGCTGTGTCAAATATTTAATTACAATCCAAATTCAGTGCTGTATCAAGCTTGAATGTTGTGTCCATACTTGCCCCAACTGTTCAGGGTTCGACCTCTGCGGTCGTATCAAGCTGCACCCCAGGGGAGCATTTTTTTTTATTTTGTTATATATTATTTTAATCTGTGATTCATATTCATGAACATTGTAGTTTATTCAATATATTGATACATAAATGATGATCCAAGAGTTATTCCTCACAGGAGTACTTTGACACAACGTGTGACAAGATAATCTAATTGTTCTTATGCCAATAACTGGCATAAGAACAATAAGATCAAAAACAAAGACAGTGGCAATCTACATTTGTACGTCAACACGAATATATGTGTTGTGTTCATACATTAACTAAAATGAAGAAGAAAAAAAACACTCTTAGAAAACTAAGATAATACTTGTTTTTATTGCGGTCGTATATTGGTATGACGTCGGCGTCGTAGTCCGGAGACACATTGGTTTTCGCACTATAACTTTAGTTTAAGTGAATGGATCTCTATGAAATTTTACCATAAGGTTAAATACCACAAAAGGAAGGTTGGGATTGATTTTGTGGGTTATGGTACCAACAGTTAAGGAATTAGGGGCCAAAAATAAGCATTTTCTAATTTCCAGACAATAACTTGTGGAACGGTGTATGGATCTCTCTGAAATTATACCACAAGTTTCCATACCAAAGGGATGGTTAGGATTTGCCTTGGGGTGTTATGGCTCAAACCGTTTATTAATTAGGGGCAAAAAAGGGGGAAAAACAAGGTTGTCCTAGTTACTGACAAATTCTTAAGAACAAAACATAATTTAAAGCAGTGTAAGGGAGATAAATCAAATACATCATTTGAATTACCTCCCTAAATTTGAATTGAGATTATGACCATATCTTGAGGGAAAGAATTTTTTGGGGGGGAAGAAATTGTGGGGGTCAATTTTTTTTAATTTCAGATTTCAGAAATTAAAAAGAATTATTCTTCAAATATTACTTTTTTTTCAAATTTCAAATATTGAAAAATTTCAAGAAGTAATCTTTAATTGCACAGAATGGCGCATTAGATTTGTAAAATCTTTGACCACATTTATTTATTTGTTATGCAGAATCTGACCGTGTATTTAGATTTTTAATTTTGGGTCCAGTTTTCAAATTGGTCTACATTAAGGTCCAAAGGGTCCAAAATTAAACTTAGTTTGATTTTAACAAAAATTGAATTCTTGGGGTTCTTTGATATGCTGAATCTAAACATGTGTTTAGATTTTTGATTATGGGCCCAGTTTTCAAGTTGGTCCAAGTTTAGGTCCAAAATTAAACTTTGTTTGATTTCAACAATAATTGAATATATGGGGTTCTTTGATATGCTGAATCTCACCATGTATTTTGATTTTTGGGCCCTGTTATCAAATTGGTCCACATTGAGGTCAAAAGGGTCCAAAATTAAACTATTTGATTTCATCAAAAATTGAATTCTTTGGATTCTTTGATATGCTGAATCTAACCATGTATTTAGATTTTGGATATTGGACCATAATAGGTAAATTAAAAAAATTTAAGTTCTTAGACCACATTCATTCTGTGTCAGAAACCTATGCTGTGTCAAATATTTAATCACAATCCAAATTGAGAGCTGTATCAAGCTTGAATGTTGTGTCCATACTTGCCCCAACTGTTCAGGGTTCATAATCATTATTAGGGTCTCTAGTTTAAAAAATTTGTCTGATGACCCCTCCTTCCAACCATCATGGCCAACTTGGTTAAAAATAGAACATAGGGGTAAAATCGATTTTTGGATTATATCTCTAAAACTAAAGGATTTAGAGCAAATCTGACATGTGGCAAAAATGTTCATCAGATTTAGATTTATCTGCCCTGAAATTTTCAGTCGAATCAAACAACCCTTTGTTGGGTTGCTACCTCTGAGTTAGTAATTTTACAGAAATTTTGCAGTTTTTTGTTATTATCTTAGATATCATTATAGTATCTAATATCTAATACTATTAATTATGATTTTAACCTTATTTTACATGATTTCCAAAGCATCAGTAAATACAGGTGAGGGACACAGGCTCTTGAGAGTTTCTTTAAAATTTTCCATTTTAAATTGGTTATTTCTGATTTATATTTAAAAGCAAATAATAATGATATGGTTTGAATAAGTAAATTAAAATTTTTTAAGTTCTTAGACCACATTCATTCTGTGTCAGAAACCTATGCTGTGTCAAATATTTAATCACAATCCAAATTCAGAGCTGTATCAAGCTTGAATGTTGTGTCCATACTTGCCCCAACTGTTCAGGGTTTGACCTCTGAGGTCGTATCAAGCTGCGCCCAGCAGAGCATTTTATTGTTAAATTTTATAACTTACCGTAGGAACTCGCCTATTAGTCGGAAAATTGGGAGTAAAATTCCTAATCCAGAGAGGGGTACCAACTAATAGACGAGATCCAGCGACCAGAGGAAAAATCCTGGTCAAAACTACGTTGGTGATTGCCATACCTACATAAATCCCTAAATAAAATGATTTTGTTAAAATAAATGACTACAATACTGTCTTTGTGTTTTATTTGTTCTTTGTAAACTTTTTTCTGTCAATTCGTGTCGAATTTCCGACTGTTTCCGGTTTGTGTATTGATTTTCATTTTGTTTGTGCATAAACCCAAAAGAAAGAGCCAAGAACCAAAAATGAAAACGAGATAACAATGTACCAACTATGTAAAAGGATGTTTTCAGCGGAGTTAATGTGTCATTATTGTGATATCATGATATCAATTCAATACTTATAAATCATACAATAATCAAAAATAATTTTAAGATTCATTCCCAAGATCAAAATATTATTCATTATTAAAATGTCTCGGGTACAGGCGCGGATCCAGAGCTTAAAGCGGGGGGGGGGGGGTTTGAGAAGTATTTTTAAACATTATAGAAGCTTTCTTAATTGTTAACCAAACCTTATGTTTTCAATAATTGGCACACTTTTTGTTCATCCGTCATATGGTTAATCAAAATTGAATTTTTAGATTAGTTTAATTATTTAATTCCAGATAAAAATACCTCAATAAATGAAAATTGGCAAACATTGAATGTACAAAGTTATCCTGAAAGTCTATTGTTGATAATTTCATCCTGATGTTATAGGCTCTAGCATACTGATTGATCACTGCAGTTTTGACAATTTCCGTGCTGATACGAATATGCATTAAAGCAAGGCCATTGAGTATCTCGCTTGTCATGGTTGATCGCAAATAGGTCTTTAAGAGTTTGAAAGAGCTGAAAGTCTTGTAATTCTCTTAATAAGGCTGTTTGGTGGTATTCTGTGTTTCCGTGAAGTTAACATTCACCATTTACCTTTACCAAATTATGTGTCCGAGGTTGTGGTCAGTAGCGAACAAAACGCAAAATTTGCAGTAAATTCCGTCGGTGAAGTTAAATATACAATCCATGGGTAATAGTGGAGCAACGCATATTTGAAGCATCTTTTAAACCCGTACATTTCTCGTTTAGGAAAAGGAAAAAAAACTATGATAAGTGGTTGCCAGTTTTTAATTAGAATGCTATACATATCAGCACTAGGTACTGATGTGGAAATAAAGTTTGCAATATCCTTAGATTCAGCAGGTGTCGCAGCAGTTGCAGAAATTAAAAAAAATAATAAAAAAATCTTGTGGATATTATAGAGTGAGAAAGTATTTTTCTTCAAATCAAGCTATCAGAAAACGTCGTTTTAATTATTAAACCAACAAAGTTATAAAATATAGGATAGCAGCCTTGGATGGTCTGAATTAAATCCTTTGATTCTCTAATTATTTCTCCCCAGGCCAATGTAATTATGACATGTGTGTATTTAACGGAGTGTAGCGAGAACGTGTCAGCCAATTAAGTGCTCACTGAATATTCAATTTTTAATAAAGATAACATTAAAAAAAAAATGATTAAGTGATTGTATGCTTTTTGCTCACAAAAAGTATTTCAAGATTTTCAAGCGGGGGGATTTTCCCGAACCCCCCCCCCAAACCCCGCTAAATCCGCTAGTGCAGGTACATGTAAACACAAAAATTACAAAATTGATTGACAAGCCAATATAATCCATTGATAACCCCTAATTAAGAGATAAAAGGTTGTAATTACTAAAGGTGTGAAAAATATCAGTGATGGGTGAACAGATGACACTAATGAGTTGGGGTTATTTTAATATAAAGTTGATTAGCTTCACTTAATTTTTTTAATCCTTTAATCATCACAATATAATAAGAATTATGAAGTGTACATGCTCATTTAACACTGAGTTATGTGTGCTGTGAAAAATATTGATTGACTTTTAATTTGTTCAGGTTCATATTGGTTTATGTTTGCTTTTCTCAAACAAAGGTTGTTAGTCATACCCTACAAAATCATTGATGCATTACGTAAACAACACACGGCTAATCAAACAATGAACAAAACAACAGGAATGAATACATCTTTATTATTAATAGCAATATAAATTATCATAATCAACATCAACTAAATTCAAACCAAACAAACATTCATGCAGAAAATGAATATAATTCGTGGATTTGCATTGGTTTACCGGCGTTCAGTAACTGTCAGCTGCAAAAAAAATGTCCAAATTTTGTCCGACTTATACGAGGGCAAGACTAAATCCTTAGAATTTGGAGCTGAAAAGGGCAACCGACTAATAGGCGAGTTTCTACGGTACTTTAATCTGGTCATTACGACATTAGTTGTCCCTTTATAGAACATTTGGTTTTCAGTGCTTTTCAACTACATAATTGATTTGGCCATCTATTGTTCCAACTGTTCATGCACCACTGATGTGTCATATGTCATATGGAGACGAAAGTCGTTTTTTCATACTAACAATGTTCTCGTTGCCATGGACACCTGGTTTTCTGTCTGGACGCACTATGCATGAACCGTGCGTGTGTGGAATACACATGCTGAGTCTTGTAATCATCAGAATTATCCCTCACCTATCAAATAGAAGCTGAAAACATGCTTCTACTCAAATTTTTACTGGAAATTTACTTTCGTTTTCATTGCTATATGTAATAATAAGTCCCGAGAAATTCGAAAATAATTATGATCACATGAAGTACGCTAATTGGATAAACGCAGAGATGATCAAAATCAGTTTACCCATTACCAGCAATAAATATTTTCATTTGAACTTTTGGTTTTCAATGCCTTTCAACTACATTATTAATTTGGAAGCCAAGGTTACAAGGACCAACAGAAATTTCAATTTTGACGGTCCCAAACAGTAAAAATATTTGCCAGTCATTGGGTCTGACACAAAGACGTCGTTTGCCAGACCCACTAAAATTCTGCCCCTAGGTCCGACAGGTCAGACGATTAGCTGCATCACTGGAATGCTGGGATTGATTTAGGGGGTAATTGCCACCAATTTTTAGGAATTAGGGGCCAAAAAAGGGGCAAAAAACAAGCATTTTTCTAGTTTCATGACAATAACTTGTGTGTAAGTATATGGATCTTTATGAAATTGTACTACAAGGTTCCATATCACAAAGGGAAAGCTAGAATTGAGTTTGGTGGTAATTGCCCAAAATGTTTAGGAATAAGGGGCCAAAAATAAGCATTTTTCTAGTTTCCAGACAATAACTTGTGTTCAAGTGTATGGATCTCTCTGAAATTGTACTGCAAGGTACCATACCACAAAGGTAAGGCTTGGATTGATTTTGGGGGTAATTGCCTCAAAATTTTAGGAAAAAGGTGCAAAAAAACAAGCATTTTCTAGTTTCAGGACAATAACTTGTGTGTAAGTGTATGGATCTTTATGAAATTGTACTACAAGGTTCCATATCACAAAGGGAAAGCTGGGTTTGAGTTTGGGGGTAATTGCCCTAAATGTTTAACTGGGAGCATGGAGCTCTTCAGGGTGTGTGACCTTAAGAATTGACAAAATAAAAGAGCATGAACACTGTGCTGAACACTTATTGTCAGTAAACAAAGAATCCGAAGAAATAAATGCAGAAAAGTGTAGTATAAAAATTAAAGCTGACTCACATAATGCCATTCAAGATGCTTTGAAGGTGCTTTATTACCTAATAGAACACAACCTTTCACTCGACTTATTTTCAAGCCTTGTTGATTTAATTATAGAACTTGGTTCATATAATTTAGCCAATCTACGATTAGCCAAAAATGCTAAGTATACAAGTTGGAATATAGTTACAGAACTCTTGCAACTACTCAGTGATGAAGTTCAAGAAAATCTATTGAAAGAAATGAGAAAAAGCCCCACTTACTCAATAATGGTCGATGAAGTAATTGACATTACATCTCATAAACACCTTGCAATTTGTGCTAGGTTCATAGATTCAGAATGTAACATTAAAAATGCCTTTATTAGTGACCCACTGATAAATGATGGACGTGCTCAAACAATTGGGGCAATATGCGTAATAGATTCTCCATAGGCGGTAATGTTAACGTTGTCTTCTGTTGCTCAGGCCATATCGTAAACTTGGATATGTATGATGGCTCATTTTGAAGCTGAGACACTTGCACATGTGTGGTGCGATTTTTCGGGGTGGCAAGTGTGATTCGTTTTCCCGTCAAGTGCCCAACCCCGAAAGATAGTGAAAAATGTCACTCTCCTCAGGAAATAATCCCTAAATTCTGACCATAAAAATCATTAAAAAATATGTCCTTTGTAATTATTTGTTCAGGTTTATTTTTTTATACTTTTTTTCACATCACATCAGCTCTATAAAACACCAGTCCTAGTTCATTTATGTCAATTTTTAAAATCACAGCTTCCACAATTGTATGGCGGACTAATTTTTTAATGAGAGTCATAAATCTGTGTTCCTCATCTCAAGGTCCATTAGGGATATTGACCCAATTACTGACAAAAATTAAACAGGAACTAGTTTCTGCTGACTTGCCTATTTCCGAAATATCAGCGTTTGGTTCTGATGGAGCGTCAGTTTTATCTGGGGAAAAAAAATGGTGTATGTGCAAAACTCAAGGAAGTTAATCCATCATTAATAGCTAATCACTGCAAAGACCATAGGCTAGCCCTTGCATGTAGGGATTCCTACAAATCAGTGAAGGTAGTTAAGTGCCTTGACGACACTCTTGATAACCTACATAAGTATTATAAATATAGCTGTAACCATACAAAATCTTTGGAGGATGTCCAGAAGGCACTTGGAGACCCATGTCTGAAGATGAAAAAGGCCGCTGGGATTGATTTTGGGGGTAATTGCCTCAAAATTTTAAGAATTAGGGGCCAAAAAGGGGCAAAAAACAAGCATTTTTATACAACCGTTCTAGTTTCAGGACAATAATTTGTGTGTAAGTGTATGGATCTTTATGAAATTGTACAACAAGGTTCCATATCACAAAGGGAAAGCTGGGTTTGAGTATGGGGATAATTGCCCTAAATGAATTTGGGGCCAAAAAGGGGCCTAAAAACAAGCATTTTTCTAGTTTCCAGACAATAACTTCTGTTCAAGTGTATGGATCTCTCTGAAATTGTACTGCAAGGTACCATACCACAAAGGGAAGGCTGGGGTTGATTATGGGGGTGATGAATCATAAGGGGGTTCAAAAAATTTGGGGGAGGGATTTTTTTTTCCTTTTTTTTCTTTAAAATTTTCCATTTTAAATTGGTTATTTCTGATTTATATTTAAAAGCAAATAATAATGATATGGTTTGAATAGGTAAATTAAATTTTTTTTAAGTTTTTAGACCACATTCATTCTGTGTCAGAAACCTATGCTGTGTCAAATATTTAATCACAATCCAAATTCAGTGCTGTATCAAGCTTGAATGTTGTGTCCATACTTGCCCCAACTGTTCAGGGTTTGACCTCTGCAGTCGTATCAAGCTGCGCCCAGCGGAAAAATTTATTATAAATAATAAACATATTACAATATATTATTTCCAGGAATTTGAAGACTACAGGGATGCAGATGATGCTATATATGAATTAAATGGGAAAGATTTGTGTGGAGAAAGGTATTCAGATGCTTAAATTATGAATTGCTAATAACCTGAACAGATTTTTTTTACCTTGAGAAAAGGCGGTTTGTAACTTTCAATGTGTAAAATTGGTACTTTTAGTATTAAGTTCAAACATTGTAAAATCATCACTTATTTATTTAATTTAAATATGGTTTTCATAATACAGTCGAACCTCAATAAGTCAAAGTTGAAGATCAGACGAAAGTCTTTGACTTATCCGAGGTCGAGTGTGTCATCATAAATTTGGAATGCATGAATTAAGGTTTGAGATTTGTGTTAACTAAATATTATAACACAAAATCAGTATGTGTACAGCAAAAAACACAAAAGCAAAGTAACATTGTGTTTATTGCTGTTCTTCATCTCAAAGTCACAGTGAGGTTTAGAAAGTGCTCGCGACACCTTGCAAAATAGGAACAGTAACAATTCATGTAAAAGGGATTACAGGAACTGTGGGAATTTAGGGTGATATTCATGAATGACAAAGTAAGAGCCAAATTTACTTTAGATTTATATTGTTTCAGATGTACTGTTGAGCATGCTCGTGGAGCTCCCCGAGGTGATGATAGACGTGATGGTGGTAGAGATAGGGGGTTTAGGGACTATCCTCCAGCACGTAGTCGACGAGGAGGAAGAGATAAGTAAGACAAACTTCAGTGCTGCATGGCAATCAGAAATCTGTTGTATTTAATGGATGGACAAGCTTCATCAACCAATGCTTTGTTTTTATTTCCTGTACCTAAAGAAGTTAATCCATCATCAAAGTATTTCATTGCAATATTAGTTCAAGGCATTGGATCAATATTTTAGTTGAAAAGAATAAATTGGGTTCAAGTAAAACATTTTGTCAGTACCTTTTCTACCAGCAAAACAGTGTCCTACATATGCATGAATAAACGACCACTGAACATTTAGTAAGCAAAAATTGATCAATCTTATTGTCTCGCCTTGTCAGAGTCAAAAATCTAGACATAGGTATGCTGTTTCGGGGGGGGCGGGGGGGGGGGGGGGGTCCTCAATGTATTAGTTTGTGATTAGGTCTGGTTTATGGTGAACCACTAGTTGTAGGTCAATGATATTTGGTATGCAGTTGTTTAAGCATTGGCACATCTCATTTCCATGGAGATTATTTGACTCTGCCCCTTCAGTCATGGTCTATTGACTTTAAAACTTTTGCTTAGTCACATGTATTAGTTGGTGGTTAGGTCAGTTCAAGGGGAACCATTAGTGGTAGGCCAATAATAATTGGTATGCAGTTGTATAAGCATAAGCACATCTCATTTCCATGGAGAATATTTGGTCCTTACCCCTCAGCCATGGTCTATTGACTTTGAAACTTTTTTTTTGCTTAGTTGACATGTATTAGTTTTTGATTAGATCAGTTTAAGATGAACCACTAATGTTAAGTCAGTGATATTTGGTATGCAACTGTATTAGCATTTGCAAGTCTCATTTCCATGGAGATTATATAGCCCTACCCCCTCATCATGGTTCATTGACTTTGAAACTTTTACATAGTTTACAAGTTATGTTTGTGTTTAGGTTTGTTTTGAAGGGAACAACTTATGATAAGTCAATGGTATTTGGTATGCAGTTGTATTAGCATTGCCACATTTCATTTCCATGGAGATTGTTTAGCCATGTACCTTCAGTCATCGTTCATTGACTTTGAATATTTGTATAACTTACATGTTAAAGAACTGCTATTTTAATTTCTACATTTGCATTATCAAAATAACAAAAAGGCGAGACATATCTCTGTGTTAACAGTTTATTAAACAAAACTTGCTTATGTTGAAGTCATATAGTATGTACATGTAGGATGTACATAAATTGTCCACAATTCTTCAAGGCAAAGCATATTGTTGATGTTCAAAATTATATTATATATTGTTGAGAAAAAAACATTTGAATTAAATTGAATACTATAGATTTCTTGACATATGACCTGAGATTTCATGTATTTCGCTTTTACTAAAAGGCTGAGTATCATACTCAATACATGAATTTTAAATAAAAGACCAAAAAAATTTTGGAAAAAATCTGATTTTACAACATGATTAAGCCTTAAGCAGGAACAAAATGTTCAGATACTAAAAGATCTTGACTGATATTCCATGTTTTATGAAAAAAAGAAACTAATTAAAGAATGCTATTAAAATAATGTAGTATTAAACGACAAATTTGCAAGGATATAACAAGTGCTTTTAATCTGAAGTGTTAGTGAATAATGTGGTATTATCTGACAATGACTTCTTTTGAATTATAGTTATAGAAGGGGCTTCGGACAGAACAACAGTGCTGACAGGTACAGTATTATATATTTTACATTGGACATTTTTGGCTCTTGTAAGCAGATTCCTTATTTTTAATCCTTCTGTTTCACTTTGTCTTGATTTTTTTGTGTTTCTGTTGTTAAATATGGTGGGACCTCTCAGCACTGTTGGTTTTTGATTTATATATACATCAGGGTTGATCAGTTAATCCATGGAAGTACGGATGAATGGATATCTCCTCAGAAGCATGATGTTGTGAAAAAAATAATGAACATTGTGTGTATTAATATAACTGTCCTCAATTGAGGATACAGAATGATGTTAAGAAGTGGAAGATGCAAATTGATGTTTAATATGTTCCCATGTTGGTATATTAAAATGATGATTCCTAAGTAGAAGTAACAACATGAACATTAAGATGTTCCTTTGTTGATGTTACTATGAAGTTAAGATGATCCCAATTTGATGCAGAAAATGATATTAAGATGTTCCCTAGTTGATGTAGCAAACGAAGTTAAGATGTTCCCATGTTGATGTAGAAAATGGTGTTAAGATGTTCCCAAGATGATGTAGAAAATGAAGTTAAGATGTTCCCACGTTGGTGTAGCTAAATGATGCTTCAGATGTTCAAGATAAAAAGAACCTGTCAGTTTCTTGGTAAAAACTTTAATGAGGGTAGTTTTTCTGATCAGCTTTATTCTATTAACATTAAAATGTAAACCCCAATCCTAAAGCCTCAGAAGGATTTTCTAAAATGTTTTAAGTTTAAATGATTTGCATTGAGTTGAGATTTAGCTTTATAATGATGATTATGTTTAAATGATAATTTGAAATATAAATGGAAAAAGATGTTTAAATATATTGGTTGAATCCGTTTTGGATCACAAAATATGCAAATATTTGAAATTGTAAGAGCAAGAGATAAGAAAGACAAATTTCAGCCCTGCATGACAATTTGAAATCTCTTATAATTGGTCAAACTTCATCAACTGACTATAAATTATGTTTTATAATTTAGAGAAAAACATGGAACATGTATATCAAATTTTTATCAATCAAAATAACATAAATTTCTTAACATGAATTAAATATTCACAATTTTCACTTTCATTATTAAAATGATTACTATACTGAGATAATTAGATTCATGAACATAAGATAAAAGATTAAAATATTTTAGTGAAATTCTGATTTTCGACATTAATAAATTTATGCAGGGAACCAATAATTTAAATACTGTAAAATTGTTGACTTGAAGTGCATATTTTTAACTACAAATTTTCAAAGATCAATTCAAGATTTTATTGAATCTTCATGCTTAATGTGGTATCATCTGACAATGACTTTTTTTTGAATTATAATTATAGAAGGGGCTATGGACAGAACAACAATAGTGCTGAAAGGTACAGTATTATATATGTTACATAACAAATGAACAGCCCTGATTTTCAAATTCCTTAATGTTAGTTTTGTTTGGCTTGATTTCTTGTTAATTCTGTTGTTAAATGTGGTGGTAACTTTCAGCACTGTTTAGTTTTGATTTATATATCTATCCATCGGTCAGGGTTCATCAGTTTATCCATGGAAGTACTGATGAATGGATATCTACTTATAGAAGCATGATGTGAAATTAATGAAACTGTCCTCAATTGAGGATACAGAATGATGATTCCTTAGTTGAATTAGCAACATGACGAATAAGATGTTCCTTTGGTGATGTTGCTAATGATGATTAAGATGTTCCTTTGTTGACGACGCAAATAATGATTAAGGTGATCCTTTGTTGTTGTTGCAAATGACGATTTAGATGTTCCTTTGTTGAAGTTGCTAATGACAATTAAGATGTTCCTTTGTTGATGATGCAAATGACGATTAAGATGTTCCTTTGTTGATGTTGCAAATGAAGTTAAGATGTTTCCATGTTGGTGTAGCTAAATGATGCTTGAGATGTTCCAAGATAAATCTGTCAGTTTCTTGGTAAAAATATAAATAAGGTAGTATAACATAAATCCTGGATCTAGACAGCTTAATACTATTAACATGAAAATATAAACCGTTGAAGCATCCAAAGGATTTTCCCAATAATAAAAATTAAAGAAATCTGTAGAATTAATGATAAAATAATGTATTACTTTAAATAATTTTCCATCAAATCTGCCAATTAATAATTATTGTTTTTAATGAAAATTTTAAATCTGAATTAAAAAAAAAATGTTTAAAAAAATTGGTTGATCCAATTTCAACCATAAAATATGGTAGAGTAATTGAAAAAATTGTAAGAACATGACATTTTTAGTTGTTAATTTTTTTCACATAGCTAATACACCATCAGCTGTATAAATTGTACATTTATAACATGTTTAAACATTAAATAAACAAATACAATTTATTTTCTCTTTGATTAAGAAATTTTACAAGGAATCTCTTTTAGTGTATGAAAAATATGTCTCAAATGAGATTTGAATAAACCTTTAAAGACAGACATTTTTTGTAGTAATTTTCTATTATCATTGAAGTCCAGAGTTGTATTGATACATTTGCAGGAAGTGGGTCTGTATTTCACTATAATTCATGACCTTTGCCGAAACTAATGGATTCTGATTGGTTAACAACAGCCTAATCAGTTGCATAACAATTTTAGTTTGTGTATACGTATGAATAAGGAATTTACAAATAATTATTCAGATTCTTAAATGGTGAATTTTTTTAGCCTGAATTCTGACTTCATTTTGTTCTAAAGATATAATGTGGCCTAGATATTTAATTCTATTTATATTTTATGGAAACCAATTCCTTAATTCACATGTAATTGGCTTAGGGCTGTAGCATGGTGGATGTGAGGCACCTTCTTCTTTTTAGACCCCAACAACCCATAAAAGAAAATTTTCATTTTCCTTTTTAGCTCACCTGGCCGAAGGGCCAAGTGAGCTTTTCTCATCACTTGGCGTCCGTCGTCGTCGTTAGCTTTTTACAAAAATCTTCTTCTCTGAAACCACTGGGCCAAATTTAACCAAACTTGGCCACAATCATTATTAGGGTATCTAGTTTAAAAAATGTGTCCGATGACCCCGCCAACCAACCAAGATGGCCGCCATGGCTAAAAATAGAACATAGGGGTAAAATGTAGATTTTGGCTTATATCTCTGAAACCAAAGCATTAAGAGCAAATCTGACATCTGAATTGTTTATCAGGTCAAGATCTATCTGCCCTGAAATTTTCAGATGAATCGGACAACCCGTTGTTGGGTTGCTGCCCCTGAATTGGTAATTTTAAGGAAATTTTGCAGTTTTTGGTTATTATCTTGAACATTATTATAGATAGAGATAAACTGTAAACAGCAATAATGTTCAGCAAAGTAAGATCTACAAATAAATTGTCATGACCAAAATTGTCAGTCGACCCCTTTAGGAGTTATTGCCCTTAATAGTCAATTTTTAACAATTTTTTGTAAATTTTTGTTATCTTTTACAAAAATCTTCTTCTCTGAAACTACTGAGACAAATTTAACCATACTTGGCCATAATCATTATTAGGGAAGCTAGTTTAAAAAATTTGTCCGATGACCCCTCTTTCCAACCATCATGGCCGACTTGGTTAAAAATAGAACATAGGGGTAAAATGCAGTTTTTGTCGAGCCTGCGACTTTTGTCGCAGAAAGCTCGACATAGGGATAGCGATCCGGCGGCGGCGGCTACGGCGGCGGCGGCGGCGTTGGCTAACTTCTTAAAAGCTTTATATTTTAGAAGATGGAAGACCTGGATGCTTCATACTTTGTATATGGATGCCTCATGTTACGAAGTTTCCGTCAGTCACATGTCCAATGTCCTTGACCTCATTTTCATGGTTCAGTGACTACTTGAAAAAAAAGTTCAGATTTTTTGTAATGTTAAATTCTCTCTTATTATAAGTAATAGGATAACTATATTTGGTATGTGCGTACCTTGCAAGGTCCTCATGCCCGTCAGACAGTTTTCACTTGACCTCGACCTCATTTCATGGATCAGTGAACAAGGTTAAGTTTTCGTGGTCAAGTCCATATCTCAGATACTATAAGCAATAGGTCTAGTATATTCGGTGTATGGAAGGACTGTAAGGTGTACATGTCCAACTGGCAGGTGTCATCTGACCTTGACCTCATTTTCATGGTTCAGTGGTTATAGTTAAGTTTTTGTGTTTTGGTCTGTTTTTCTTATACTGTATGCAATAGGTCTACTATATTTGGTGTATGGAATGATTGTAAGGTGTACATGTCTAGCTGGCAGGTGTCATCTGACCTTGACCTCATTTTCATGGTTCAGTGGTCAAAGTTAAGTTTTTGAGTTTTGGTCTTTCTTTCTAATACTGCATGCAATAGGTCAGCTATATTTGGTGTATGGAATGATTGTAAGGTGTACATGTCTAGCTGGCAGGTGTCATCTTACCTTGACCTCATTTTCATGGTTCAGTGGTCAAAGTTAAGTTTTTGAGTTTTGGTCTTTTTTTCTAATACTATATGCAATAGTTCAACTATATTTGGTGTATGGAAATATTTTATGATCTATATATGTCAGTCACGCAGGTTTAATTTGACCTTGACCTCATTTTCAAGGTTCATTGCTCAGTGTTAAGTTTTTGTGTTTTCGTCTGTTTTTCTTAAACTATAAGCAATAGGTCAACTATATTTGTTGTATGGAAGAATTGTTAGCTGTACATGCCTGCCTAGCATGGTTCATCTGACCTTGACCTCATTTTCATGGTTCATTGGTCAATGTTTAGTTTACTTGGTTAATGTTAAGTTTATGTGACAGTTGTAATAAAGCTTTATATTTAGGACTATCAACATAATATCAATGATTAGTAAAGAAGGCGAGACATTTCAGCGTGTGCACTCTTGTTTGTTTTATATCTCTGAAACTAAAGCATTTAGAGCAAATCTGACAGGTGGCAAAAATGTTCATCAGATTTAGATTTATCTGCCCTGAAAATTTTTAGACGAATCCGACAACCTGTTGCTGGGTTGCTGCCCCTGAGTTAGTAATTTTACAAAAATTTTGCAGTTTTTTGTTATTATCTTAGATATCATTATAATATCTAATATCTAATACTATTAATTATGATTTTAACCTTATTTTACATGATTTCCAAAGCATCAGTAAATACAGGTGAGCGACACAGGCTCTTGAGAGCCTCTAGTTACAAATTACCAAAAAAATGCAACCACCCACAATTTATTGATTTGAGTACCTCCCATCCCCCTGCATTTAAATCGGGAACAACTCTTAAATTTATTAAAGCTACTGGATTATTAAAATAAAAACAGAAATATGATACACAGATATAGCAATAAGTTAATATTAATATTATAAATAATTTGTGATTCCAAAGAAGCAAAAGTAATTCAAAGTGGACAATGTAAATCATGAATGATTTAACAACAAAAAATAGGGTGAGAGGAACAAGAATATTATGGACAATGTATAACTGCATGCCAGAGTTTATATTTTGAGCAAAGAAGTATAATTATTATTCTGTTACAGGTATGGACCGCCCACAAGAACGGAGAACAGATTAATTGTAGAAAACCTTTCATCCAGAGTAAGCTGGCAGGTATGTATCTTATATCTGTAAACAAATACTTCATGGTTATCCTAATTGATGTTATATATACTCTGGTTTTATTTACTCTCAATAGATTTTAGAGTCTTAAGAAAGTTTAGAAGATACTAGACCTTTGTCATCGATAAAAAAAAAATATTCCTCTTTATATACATGTATTATATAATGAACCAAGGCAGAAACTAATAAATCATTTAATGTTCAAAACAAAATTGAACACCTTTTTACTTGCTGTATATTCCTTTTACAAATAAGCAACACAAAAAAAAATTCAAACTAAAATATTAAGAAGCTATTAGTTTTATAAGATAATAGTGTTTTATCAGTCCTGTCAACTTTATTTCGTAAAGTTTGGTTGCATGCGTTTATTTCATTTAATTGAAATAGAGATTTTATTTGTCCAAGTGTGTAATTATAACCAATATTTGCATTATTTCAAAGGAATATACAGAGTGTGACATTTTACATATTCATGTTTCATACCTAAATAGTATTGTCTTCTCTCATAAGCGCCCTCAAAGGTGAGGTGGCAGGAGCATGATGAAGGACGAAGAGTCTAATCACAGCTTCCTCCCCAAAAGTGCCACAAGGAATGGCTACTTCAATGTGTTTCATTCTTGTTCTTGCTTATGATGTGTTGACTGTGAGACGAGGGGGTCTAGCTAGCTTGATGTTCATCTGTCAGAAGACAAAGAGGGTCCTACACTGATGGGAAAGTCGCGCTTTACATGACTAACATGGTCAATCTTTGGAAAACAAAAAATTGTGATGAATGCCAGTCGGCTAAAGCTAGCCATACATCTGGATTAGATAGTTCTTGCTATCTTCCCATGTTCAGAAAAAGGGTAGAATACTGCTGCAATGTAATGATGAAATAAACAGAAGTACACTTGAAGTCCTGATGCTCTCTCTAGCAAGGGTTCATTAATCTCTCAGGCGATGTCAGTTTCTATTCAGTAGAGGTAATTCTGTTATTAAATGATACACATCTTTTTAATGTATGAAGAGTAAAATGAATAGTAAAAATAAAAACTATTAGATTTTCAAAACAAGTGTTAATAATACCAGTAATGATTTAAAATGTTGAAACATTTTATAGAAAAGGATCATGGCAAAAGTTGTGCCAAAAAGAAAATAGTGAAGAGGGATGTGTTGTATGGCTTTTTAGTGTATGGTTGTTTATCAATGTCATTGATTTTTTTTTGGGGGGGGTTTGGCTAGTAACAAATATTTTCAATGTCATTGATGTTTTTCTATTACAACTGGACAATTGTGACTTGGAATTATTTGAAAATTGTGTAATAGGTCAAATTCTAAAGTAATCAAATTCTTTTATTAGTATGGGTCAATTTTATTTATTATGATTACTCTTGTGATTCTGAACATTTTTCAAATCAACCTTGAAACTTGCACTGCATAAATTTGGCATTCCATCGGAGCTTTGAATTCAAAACACCAAAAATATTCAAGTAATATAGATGTTCCCATTCCCCAATATGCAATCAAGAATTTTGCAAGCCAGGACATTTGCAAGTTTCTGTTTATAGTGACAGCTTGATAAAACCATAAATATTTTCAAGAACAAGAATAAATATAGGTAAGTATAATGCAAAGTAATGTGAAAATTAAAAAGATATAATTTTGTAACTACATATCTCACTTTCTTTTACTATTTACTTAAAAGGATTTGAAAGACTATATGAGACAGGCAGGAGAAGTCACATATGCTGATGCCCACAAGCAGCACAAAAATGAAGGGTAAGTCCATACAATTTTTTATTAGCTGCATACTGTTGATTTACTTATTACCTTGCAATGAATTTTTCTTGGTTTGGAGAAAAGCTGTCATTTCAATGTTGTGGTTTAATAAATTATTCCTTTCAAAGTAGATTATTTTTTTTTACGGTATTTAGATGAGTGGTTCCCTAATCAACAAAATTCATCATTGAATACACAGTATTCGATAATCTGAGCAGTATGCCATATTCAAGGATCAATGCTTCACTGCTATGTCTGTAAACCAACATATATTCCATTGTGGTTTTTGTCTCGCCTGCGATGAAAGTTGCAGTATGCGAGACATAGGTATTACTATCCGTCGGCAGCATAAACTATTTATATAAAGCTTAATATTTCAGAAGGTAGAAGACCTAGGTGCTTCATATCTTGTAAGCAGATACCTTATGTTACGAAGTTTCTGTCTGTCATATGTCCACTGGCCTTGACCTCATTTTCGTGTGTTTTGGTCTGTTTTTTAAGTACTATTAGCAATAGGTCAACTATAATTGGTGTATGGAATGATTGTAAGGTGTACATGTCTGTCTGGCAGATTTCATCTGACCTTTACCTCATTTTCATGGTTCATTGGTCAATGTTAAGTTTTTGTGTTTTGGTCTGTTTTTCAAATACAAGTAGCAATAGTTCAGCTATATTTTGTGTATGGAATAATTGTAAGGTGCACATGTCTGTCTGGCCTGTATTATCTGACCTTGACCTCATTTTCATGGTTCATTGGTCAATGTTAAGTTTTTGTGTTTTGGTCTGTTTTTCAATTACCATACACAATAGGTCAACTATAGTGTATAAAAAAATTGTAAGGTGTATGTCTGTCTGAGACAATTTTTCTGACCTTGACCTCATTGCCATAGATCTTTAAAAATGTTAAGTTTCTGTAATGCTCTTTGTAAAACCTTTATCTTTAAGACTTTCAACATAAAATCAGTAAAACAGGCGAGACATTTCAGTATGTGCACTCCTGTTTAAACTTTAACCCAAAATGCTTTTGTGAAATTAAATGTGTGATCAATCTTCTGATTATCTGTAAATGAAGTTTTTGTGGAGGGTTAACCTACCTACCTTTGAGTTAGTATTAGTTAGTGTATATCACTTGCATTAAAGAAGGTCCTGCAAGTAAATTGAAATGAAAGGACAAAGATAATGAATTTGTTCTTTTAATTTTTGAGATTTTGAAATTTAAGAGGATTTTGAGTGCAAATACTGGGTTACAAAACATTGGAAGCAATGCTGTACCATTTAAAGGAATGCATATACAAGAATTGTTCATGCAAAGATATGGCATTTGAAAAGGGTTTAAAGGAACTTTTTAGTGGATATGTAATTCTTTTGCAGTGTTGTTGAATTTTCCTCATACTCGGATATGAAGGCAGCTTTGGATAAATTAGACAATACAGAAATCAATGGTAGAAAAATCAAGTTGGTAGAAGACAGACCAAAAAGTAGTAGTAGAAGCAGTAGGAGGAGGTTTGTAGAACTTACATTGCAAAAAATACTTGAAATTACATCTGTTGGGATAGTTTGATATGTCTTATTTTGAATTATTTGTCTTTGTAAAGACAAATACAAATTATACAAAATTTTTAAAGGCTCCACTGAGCTTTTTACAAAAATAAAACATAGACACAGCATATACAAAAGCATACAAACATGGTTATATACACAGACACAAGCATACAAATGGTAAATAGCTAAGCAAAATATAATGAAAAAATTGTGAATAATGCTTAAAATGACCAACATCTTCTAAACTTAAGGCAGCTTATCAAGCTGTATGGACTAAAATAAGGTATTTTTTAGATTTATCAAGTGACAAATACAGATTTTATCATTTACATGACACATGTGTTGTTTTTATTTTCATTTAATTAAAGTCATCCTGTTGGTAGCTGCATTATACAGATTTTTTATTGTGTTTTTATACGCCCGTTTACGGGACGTATTATGGTATACCGTTGTCCGTCTGTCCGTCCGTCGTCAACATGTCGGACATTAACTCAAAAACGCTTTAACCAATTTGCATAAAACTTTGGTGAATTGTTTATATCTTTTGACGTCAGCTCCCTTTAGTTTTTTTATAAATTTTAGATTTTACGTTTCAGAGTTATGGGGTTTTATTCATTAAAAAAAGGGGGATTTTCCAGTTTTCGGACAATAATTTTAGAATGCTTTCACCAACTTGCAAGAAATTGTGGTGAATTGTTTATATCTATTGACATGAGCTCCCTGTTGATTTTTATAAATTTTAGATTTTCCTTCGAGTTATGGGGTTTTATTCATTAAAAAAAGGGGGATTTTCCAGTTTTCGGACAATAACTCAAGAATGCTTTCACCAACTGGCAAGAAATTGTGGTGAATTTTTTATATCTATTGACATGAGCTCCGTTTCGATTTTTATATATTTTAGATTTTACGTTTCCAGGTTACAGGGTTTTATTCATAAAAAAAGGGGGATTTTCCAGTTTTCTGACAAAAAATCAAAAATGCTTTCAGCAGTTCTTATGAAACTTTGGTGAATTGTTTATATCTATTGATGTAAGCTCCGTTTAGAATTTTATAAATTTTTCATTTATCATTTCTGAGTTATGGGTTTTTTTTCATTAAAAAAAGGGGGATTTTCCAGTTTTCGGACAATAACTACAGCAGTTCTTATGAAACTTTGGTGAATTGTTTATATCTTTTGATGTAAGCTCCGTTTGAATTTTATGAATTTTTCATTTATCATTTCTGAGTTATGGGTTTTTATTCATTAAAAAAGGGGAGGTTTTCCAGTTTTTGGACAATAACTCAAAAATGCTGTTAGCAATTCTCATGAAACTTTGTTGAATTGTTTATATCTATTGATGTAAGCTCCCTTTACATTTTCATAAATTTCTAATATGACATTGAGAATTAATTGAACTTTATTTGTTTACAGTCTGACAACAGATTTACTAAGTATTGCGCAACAGCACAGTGTATTTCACAACAGCAAGAAATCTTTAATTGAATATAAATTCAATTAATATAACTAATTTCGAAGAAACCTATAATATGTCAAATATTTAATTACAATCCAAATTCAGACTGTATCAAGCTTGAATATTGTGTCCATTTTTGCCCCAACTGTTCAGGGTTGGACCTCTGCGGGCGTATCCAGCTGCGCTCAGCGAAGCAGTTTATTTTAGTTTTACGACATCTGGTCAAGATATGTCAAAAAAAAGGGGGGGTGTACCTAAAACCACATATCAGGCACACCAAGTCAGACTATCTGGTCTCTCTTTTGCTTGTACATCTGTTGTTTGCGTAGTACTTTGGTGTTAGTAACTTAGTAGATGATATAGTCTGTTGTACTGTCCAGTATTTTTGATTATCCTGGTAATCCTTTTTATGTTTTACACGAGATATAGTGAAGTACACATTGCTATAAAATATTTAAATGAATTAAGTATTCAAACAAGTGAAAATGATGACTATCTTTCGTGTCTGAAATAAAGAAGACAATCATACCCAACGTGTACTGTTACTCATTTTGACTTTGAAGTATCACAAATTAAAAATGTTGCTTGTGGGTAAAAATTTAACCATAGAATCAAATTATTTAAGGTCAAGATCTCCAAGTAGAAGCAGATCCAGGTCAAGAGGAAGAAGGTCGAGAAGTGCAAGCAGGAGCCGCAGCAGGAGTAAAAGTTCAAGAAGCAGAAGTCGTAGTAGAAGTAGAAGTAAATCCAGAAGTCCCAGTGTAGACCGTAAGGAGGCTTCAAAGTCACGATCAAAATCCCCAGAAGAGAATGGAGATAAAGATTGAAATTTGGGAATGGTTTGATCATCTATTGATATTTTCATCATCTACTCATAAATTGCCAATAAACTATATGAACAAATGTGAATTATTTAGTACATAAGGGATTAGTAGTCAATGGCACACTACAGCATTTGCTAGATAAATGCTGCTTTGTAGTGATGTAACAATGTAAACTTTCTGACAGTTTCTACAGCATGATGTATCACAAACCATTCTTTTTATTTTTAATGTTGTTTTTTTTTTTTAAGGCAATGACAATGTAAGGGAAATATCATTGTAAATATCTTATAAACTTTATTATACTGTATTGATCACGTGTGAATAAATGTCATTCAAAATGTTCATTATGAAGAAAATAAAAAAATTGCAAACTATAAGGTGCATATCAATTACAGTCACTCCACCTGTTTCGTCTATCCATTACTTTGGAAGAAAAACCTCACATGCATGGTTTGATTAAAAAATGAAAACAACACATTATAAATTTCATGCGTCCGAACTGGGGCCTGCCAATTAATTAGTGAAAAGCCGCTAATAATTAGCTTGTGCATGCATTTGTCCATTTAAGCTTGTTTCTGCTCTGTAACTTTAAAACCCCTCATTGGGTAATGTTACTTGGCATGATCATTCACCATTTCCTGAAGGTTAGTCTTGTACAAAGAAGAAAACTGTACACTGAAAGTCATGGTCCAGAACATATTCAACTATATCACCCTTTGTATATGTACTCAAACTATTTTTGCTCTCCAATTTTAAAACTCCTTGGAAATTAGGAATGAATAACTAGGGCATCAGTAAATTTCTGCTTTCTAATGGTATATATAAAAATGTGGTATGATTGCCAATGAGACTATTCTCAACCAGAGACCAAATGACATAGAAGTTAACAATTAAAGGTCACCATACTGCTATTCAACAATGAGCAAAACCCATACTGCATAGTAAGCTATAAAAAGCCTTGTAATAACAAATGGAAAACAATTCAAACAAGAAAACTAACTGTGATTTATGTACAAAACAGTAAACGAAAAACAAATATGATATACAGCAACAAACAACAAAACTCAGAATTAGAGGCTCCTGACTTGGGACAGTCACATACAGAATGTGGCAGGGTTAAACATGTTTGCTAGCGACAAACTCTCCCCCTAACCTGGGACAGTGGTATAACAGTACTACACAAGAAAAAACTAAAAATCAGCTGAAAAGGGTTTAACTCATCAGATAGATACCAAGCACATAAAAACTAAAAAAAACACAAAAGACAGGAAGTACAGATTTAAGAGTACTTGCAGTGTCTGAAAGCTAGTTCAAAGCCAATAACATCTAATAAAAAATCATGTGTCGAAGACTAAAATTGATTGGGGCCTTCGGTGATGATTTCAATCACAATTCTCTTCCAGTAGTTAAAATGGTACTCTCTTCACTAGATGTATATAAAAAAATATGCAAACATCACAAGTTTAATTCAATTTAATTGACATTCATAAGTATCCTTAACTCTTCTTGGATGAATTGATGAATTTTAGTTAAACATTGTGTAACAAAATGATATGAAGATTTTCCTGATGGATTATAATTTTGTTCTGACAAGTTTTAATTTTGCTTTCTTGATTTAGCAAGGGTATTCCTTCTTTATTTGTGAACGTCAGAAGTTAAACATCTATGTAGACACTGATTTGGTCAGTTTTCATATGGCGTATGAAGAGGACCATTTTTCAATGTCAATGTCACGACACTAGAAAACAAACCATTTTTAGGTATGTTTTTTGGATTGTATTATTAGTCCCCTACACTCCGTCCGTCTGTCCGTCTGTCCATCCGTCAGTCCGGCAAATCAGCTTTCCACACTTTTTTTCTTCGTTCTTGAAGATATTGATTTGATATTTGGTATATAGTTTAATCATGACAAGTTATAGATCAAGTTCGAATTTTGTTCCAGTCTGTTGATTTAGTCCAGAGTTATGGACCATAACTCTGGACCATATCTAATGTTGGAGTACTATGTTAAATCATATTTCTGTACAAAGGGAGATAACTCATTTTTCAAAAGACATTCTTTGTTAAATTATTTGAAGAATTTTTTGACAGGTTTGTTTGTTAATTAGTATAAACTAATTTTCTGAATGCTATATATATCAAAAAAATTATGGAGAGAAATCCTTTAATTAGGTAATAATCTATTTTTATTAATGTATATATTTCAATACATTACATCGTGTAGATAAAAGTTGTTGACATTTTATAGATAAGTTACAAATGATATACACTGTATTACATCATATCTAATTCTAGAGAACTATTAATCATGTCTAATGTTTTTATACGACCGCAAAAAAATTTTGCGATCGTATATTGGTATGACTTTGGCGTCGTCGTCGTCCGAAGACACATTGGTTTTCGCACTCTTAACTTTAGTTTAAGTGAATGGATCTCTATGAAATTTTACCATAAGGTTCAATACCACAAAAGGAAGGTTGGGATTGATTTTGGGGGTTATGGTACCAACAGTTAAGGAATTAGGGGCCAAAAATAAGCATTTTTGTAACTTCCAGACATAACTTGTGTGTTAGTGTATGGATCTCTCTGACATTGTACCACAAGGTTCCATATCACAAAGGGAATGCTGGGATTGATTTTGGGGGTAATTACCTCAAAATTTTAGGAATTAGGGGCCAAAAAAGGGGCAAAAAACAAGCATTTTTATATGGACAAATACTTTAGTACAAAACATAATTTAAAGCAGTCTAAGGGAGATAAATCAAATACATCATTTGAATTACCTCCCTTACACTGCTTTTAAATTATGTATAAAGTAATGGTTAATGAACAATTAAGACAATTTAAAACAGTGTAAGGGAGGTAATCCACATACAATGTTTTGATTACTTCCCTTACACTGCTTTTAAATTATTTTTAAAGAAATGCATATTTATAAAGATAGACCAGTAAAAAATATCTGCAAATGTTGCATCTTTTTTTTTTTACAAAAAAATCCATATGAAAGATTTGACACCATATTTTAAATTCTATTATAAAATAGATTAAGTTAGCACTATGGTAAAATTAAATGGGTAATTATTTAAAAAAATCTTTTTTATGGGGGGTAAAAAGAAATTGTGGGGGGTCAATTTTTTCTCATTTCAGATTTCAGAAATTAAAAAGAATTATTCTTCAAATATTTTTTTTTTTTTTTCAAATTTCAAATATTGAAAAATTTCAAGAAGTAATCTTTAATTGCACAGTATGACGCATTAGATTTGTAAAATCTTTGACCACATTTATTTATTTGTTATGCCAAATCTGACCGTGTATTTAGATTTTTAATTTTGGGTCCAGTTTTCAAAATTGGTCTACATTAAGGTCCAAAGGGTCCAAAATTAAACTTAGTTTGATTTTAACAAAAATTGAATATATGGGGTTCTTTGATATGCTGAATCTAAACATGTATTTAGATTTTTGATTTCAGGCCCAGTTTTCAAGTTGGTCCAAATTGGGGTCCAAAATTAAACTTTGTTTGATTTCAACAAAAATTGAATATATGGGGTTCTTTGATATGCTGAATCTAACCATGTATTTAGATTTTTTATTTGTGGGCCCCGCTATCAAATTGGTTCATATTGAGGTCAAAAGGGTCCAAAATTAAACTTTGTTTTATTTTATCAAAAATTGAATTATTGGGGTTCTTTGATATGCCAAATCTAACCGTGTATTTAGATTATTCATTTTGGGTCCAGTTTTAAATAGGTCTACATTAAGGTCCAAAGGGTCCAAAATTAAACTGAGTTTGATTTCAACAAAAATTGAATATATGGGGTTCTTTGATATGCTGAATCTAACCATGTATTTAGATTTTTTATTTGTGGGCCCCGCTATCAAATTGGGTCATATTGAGGTCAAAAGGGTCCAAAATTAAACTTTGTTTTATTTCATCAAAAATTGAATTATTGGGGTTCTTTGATATATCCAAAATCTAACCGTGTATTTAGATTTTTAATTTTGGGTCCCGTTTTTTAAATTGGTCTACATTAAGGTCCAAAGGGTCCAAAATTAAACTTAGTTTGATTTTAACAAAAATTGAATTCTTGGGGTTCTTTGATATGCTGAATCTAAACATGTGTTTAGATTTTTGATTATGGGCCCAGTTTTCAAGTTGGTCAAAGTTGGGGTCCAAAATTAAACTTTGTTTTATTTCATCAAAAATTGAATATATGGGGTTCTTTGATATGCTGAATCTAACCATGAATTTTGATTTTTGGGCCCTGTTATCATATTGTCCACATTGAGGTCAAAAGGGTCCAAAATTAAACTTTGTTTGATTTCATCAAAAATTGAATTCTTTGGATTCTTTGATATGCTGAATCTAACCATGTATTTAGATTTAGGATATTGGACCATAATAGGTAAATTAAAAAAAATTAAGTTCTTAGACCACATTCATTCTGTGTCAGAAACCTATGCTGTGTCAAATATTTAATCACAATCCAAATTCAGAGCTGTATCAAGCTTGAATGTTGTGTCCATACTTGCCCCAACTGTTCAGGGTTCGACCACTGCGGTCGTATCAAGCTGCGCCCAGCGGAGCATTTTATTAATTTTGGGTCCAGTTTTCAAATTGGTCTACATTAAGGTCCAAAGGGTCCAAAATTAAAATTAGTTTGATTTTAACACAAAATGAATATATGGGGTTCTTTGATATGCTGAATCTAATCATGTATTTCGATTTTTGATTTTGGGCCCAGTTTTCAAGTTGGTCCAAATTGGGGTCCAAAATTAAACTTTGTTTGATTTCAACAAAAATTGAATATAAGGGATTCTTTGATATGCTGAATCTAACCATGCATTTAGATTTTTTATTTGTGGGCCCCGCTATCAAATTTTGTTTATATTGAGGTCAAAAGGGTCCAAAATTAAACTTTGTTTTTTTTCATCAAAAATTGAATTATTGGGGTTCTTTGATATGCCAAATCTAACCGTGTATTTAGATTTTTAATTTTGGGTCCCGTTTTTTAAATTGGTCGACATTAAGGTCCAAAGGGTCCAAAATTAAACTAAGTTTGATTTTAACCAAAATTGAATTCTTGGGGTTCTTTGATATGCTGAATCTATACATGTGTTTAGATTTTTGATTATGGGCCCAGTTTTCAAGTTGGTCCAAGTTTAGGTCCAAAATTAAACTTTGTTTGATTTCAACAATAATTGAATATATGGGGTTCTTTGATATGCTGAATCTAACCATGTATTTTGATTTTTGGGCCCAGTTATCAAATTGGTCCACATTGAGGTCAAAAGGGTCCAAAATAAAACTTTGTTTGATTTCATCAAAAATTTAATTCTTTGGATTCTTTGATATGCTGAATCTAACCATGTATTTAGA